CTCCATGGGGTGCCGTCCTTCAGGGAAAACTTCTCCATCTTGAGTCCCCCACGGCGTCATGGAAGTCCTGCCAGCCAACCTGCTCTGGTGTGGGCTTCTCTCTCTCCATGGGCTACAGGCTCTGGCAGCAACCCGCTCCAGCACGGGCTTCTCATGGGGTCACAGCCCCCTACCCGCTCCAGGGTGGTGTCCTCCATGAGCCACAGGTGGACAGCTACACCCCACCACCTCCGTGGGCTGCAGGGGGGCAGCCTGCTTCACCATGGTCTTCAGCATGATCTGGGGGACTCTCTGCTCCGGCGCCTGGAACACATCCTCCCTCCTCTTCTTCACAGGCTTGGTGTCTTCACATATTCTCACTCCTCTCTCTGCCAGTTGTGTGGCACAGTTCTTTGTTCCTCATTTCTTAAATATATTTTCGCAGAGGCTTTCCTGTCCTGTCATTACTGATAGACTCAGCCTCGGCCAGCGATGGGTCCATCTTTGGAGCCGGCTGACATTGGCATTATCAGACTTAGGCGAAACTTCTAGCAGCTTCTTGTAGAAGCCACCCCTGCAGCCTCCCTGCCACTGGCCAGGCAACCCCAACACAGTATCCCACCGTAAATTTTCTGAAGGGGAAATGTAAATAATAGAACTGGCATTAGAGCCACCTGCCTTCTGGTTTAGAAAGATAATACTGCATTACATTTTACTTTGAAAACTTACACATAAAAGGGATTCTCATAATACTGATTTGTTCTGCTTTGTCCAGGAAAAACTTCATATTTACCTGAGGTAGATGGACAACTTTTCTAGTAGCATGAGTCTATGTAATTTATTTCTAGGGAAAGTGAGGGAGACCTCTGAAATGGCTTACTGTCAATTTTTTTTTTTCTTCTAAGGAGCAGTATTTTGTCACTTTAATAACAAGGATTAGGTTGTCTGATGTTAGCACCGACAGTCTCTTACTGAAAATGTGTGTACACAGTAATAGTAATGGAGGTGTGAATATACACATATATATGACTTACAACAGTCCTCTCCTAACATTGCTTTGTGAGGTGAACTGATTACTTATATGACTGAATAAACTGTAAGTGAATAGAACACCTCTAATGCTACCTCTTTGTAACATGATGATTTGACCTTGCGAAGCCGAACTCATGCATTAACGCCATTAAATTGTCAAAGAGCTTCATTATACACTTAGTACCGTTCACTTTTGTAGATAGTTATGTTTTTGGGCCATAACTTATAAAGGTAATCTCTGACTTCTGAAAATATTCCTTCTATTTGCATGATTGTGCTTGAAGTTAAAGAGTAAGTTGGCATATGTATTTTTTTTTGTTCATAGTTCGGAAATTTAAGTGTAGCGTTGATTGACAAACTTTTACAGATTTAGTCCCGTTTTGGTCTGTTTTTTCTACTTGACCCTGAATGGTTTAATTATTATTTCATTTTAATGTATTTGTAGTAGGCTGATACTTACAGGGCTTGTCAGATTAAGATGTTTATACAGACATGCACCTTGGCAATTATTTTTAGATTATTCAGTGCTTTTCAGAAACATTTTATAATTTAATACATCTCAGGATTTTTTTTTATTATTTGCAGGAGGTGCATAAAAAGGCAGGCTTCAAAAACTGAATGGGAACAAAATAAATCCACCAAACATTTCTCACACAATTCTTTTAAAAAAGATATTTAGGTATTTTGCAAATATCATGTTTTTTTGCTGGCTTTTTTTTTTAATATATTGT